CAGAAGGAACCTAAATGTGTCTTAACTGTAACTGTGATTAACTTAAATGACTGGAAGTTGATGTGAACGATGGTTTTATGTGTTTATCTGGTTTAAAAGCAGCTGTCATGATGTCAGTTTACTTTTCATGTAATAAATGAAACAGAACAAAGGTTTAGAAAAACTGAGAGGATTGTCAAAGCCTCAAATATTTGAATTATTGGGATTTACTTCCTATAAAGTTTTTGTGATATTCTGTCTGTTTTTATTTCATTATTGGTGACTTTCTGTCCTGCCTGCTACTGCAGCAGCTGTCATGTTAATGTCACATCATCACACATCAATAATGTGTTTTAAATCAGTTTTTGGACATCAGGAGGTGAAATTCGGCTCCAAAGAGATTTCTGAGTAAGATTTTTGGATTTGTTAGGGTTAGTTATTGAATTGAATCACTAGAATTGTGCTGTAAACTAATTTTAAATTCCCTTTTAAATGGAACAACCACTTTTAAACTCAAACTAAATCAACCGTCTCAGGGGTTTGTTTTTGTTTTTCTCTGCATTTATTCATTAACACAGTTTCTTCCATGAAACATAAGAGAAAACTATCGTTTTATTTACCAGTGTGAATGTCAAAATGCAGTTTCTGTGAGTTTAAAGTGAGATATTAATAATAAACTTCATTTCTGCAGCTTTGAAAGTGTTTTGCAAAACATTAAAATACACAAAGTGTTCGAAAACAAGACAGTAAAATGATTAAAGAGACAAAAAACAGCATGAGGGAGAGAATACATGTTCAGTGTAAAGTTTTATCATGTGGTTTAACTCGTCCACAGTTGATCAAATCCCTGAATTCAGAGAAAAAACTGACTTTTTAAAGCACATTCCACTTTTTTGCCTGAGTAGTCGGGTTTAACTTGACGTCGTCTTTTCAGGAATGAAGTCGAACCTCTTTCGCTGCACCACCTAGTTGTCATATTTTCGGAGGGTGTCTTCTGCGTAATTAACTCTCACATAATCACATCGTTCACAGTCAGTCGGGCAGGAATCCTGTCCAAGGCCTGAATGTGGATCCACAGCAGCACTGAAGGAGGTTTTCAGGAGTCTGTGTCATGCAGCTTCCTCCCAGCAGCAGGTAGCGACACAATGCTGCCGGCTGGTGACTCACTGTTGGGGAGAGCTTGTTACAAACGCTCGACATATTTGTGTGATGATGTCGCCGACAGCGCAACAATGGGAGCAAATTATTCATTCAGCAGGCGCACGCTGTCATTCAGCGTGAGAAACGAGCTGGAAGCGACACTAAATATGGACGTTCATGGAGTTCAGCGTTGTGAAATCAGACAGAGTGATGCAACGTGACATTATTTCCTGTTTTTAATTAGAGAAAATGACATTTATTGTGTTTGCTGTGCAGCTGAGCATCACAAGATAACACAAACGTCCATTTTTAGCAATAAAACTAAAGAACAAAATAATCAAAAAACACAAATCATTTGATATCAAAGCACATCCAAACTAGAATTTTTCAAAATTCTATTTACGTTTACAGGTAAAAGGTTATTTATTGGTTCTGTTAAAAGTAAA